TTCCGGGTTGATACAGGTGTTGGGGGATGGAGGGGCCTGCAGGTGTGGGCTGGGTGGGGCCGACAGGGCTGCAGGTGAGGGCCAAGGAGTGTCTTGGGAAGGTAGGGTTAGGCACGGATGAGGGGCCAGCAGGGCGGTCATTGCAGGTTCTCTGAAGGCGGACAGCCTGCGGGAGGAGGAGCTTCACCTGTCGCTGCTGGTGTCCAGTGGCTGGAGGACAATCCGCTTCAACGTGGTGCCCGTGGTGCGGTGGAAGCACAGGGTGCCTGTCCTGGAGGGGGCCCAGCGGGCGCCCGGGTTCCCTGAAGGCAGCTTGAAAAGGATCATCAGCCAAGAGGTGGCCCTGGTGCCCGCCAGCGCCCAGCTCTGGAGGTAGGAGGCACCTCCTGGGTCAGTGGGGTCCTGGGGAGTGGGCAGGAAGGAGCCACACCCCGCTGCTCCGTGGACATCTCTACCACACAGAGGTGACAGGAGTGTCAGGGGAATCCAGGGTACCCCTCCGAGCTTTGGGGAGTGGGCTGTGTGGTGGAACCCTTCATGACCAGCCCAGTGCACGAAAGCAGCAAAGAGGTCAGGTGGCTTGTCCAGGGTCCCGGCAGGTTCCAGGAGCAGCTGGGAGGGTGGTCAGGATCTAATGAGACAATTAGCACTGGGGCTTCACTCCTTCTGGGCTGCTCTTCCCGATTAGTGTCCCCGCTCCCAGGAGTCCCCCACCCAAGGTATTTAGTTGTGATGTCCTCTCCCTAGCCTGGCTGAGGAGCCCAGCGATCTTGGGGAGGGTGGCATCTGCTGGGAAGGAGCCTGAGAAGGTTCTGTGGGAGGGAGAGAGGGAGTGGGGGGCACAGGGCAGAGGCTGAGCTCCCTGCAGACCCCACACCAGGGCCCGGCGAACTCCATTGGGATCTACTCTGCTTAACTGCAGCGGGCACACAGGTCACTATGACTTGGCTAGGGTGACCACCTGCCAGCTCTCAGGTCCGGGGTGAAGTATGCAGGTGGGTGATGTTTGTAAAACTGGTTATGCCTTTTTGTGGTTTTCTGCTGCTCAGAAAGGCTCAGTAGAGCACCTGGGAGCCACCCCACCCACCTGGCCCATCTTTGCACAGAGCAGGGGCTGTGTTCAGGCTGCCGAGAAAGGGGAAGAAGGGCTGGGCTGAGCAGTCATCTTTTGCAAGTAAATGGCCTTTCCTGTGCTCTGCCCACCACAGACTCAGGGGGCAGTTGACCGTCCAGTGTTGAGACTGCACATAGAGTGGGGACCCTGAGGGCACCATGCCCAGATCCCACCCTCAATCACCCAGCAAGCACACAGCTAGTGCCTCTGGTGTGCCCTGTGCTGTGGGCACTGCTGGGGGCAAGACTCTGAGCCCCCTTGTGGTCTGAAGCTGCCCGGTAGAGGCTGGCTGCCAGAGTGGGGCATGGAATGAAGACATCATACTTGCCAGGCTGCGGCGGCTCCTCCCACACCCCTGCCAGGAACCAGAAACCTCAGCTGCTCCACCCTGGGCTGCTGAGAGTGGCACCTTCCAGGCCCCATAAAAAGGCTTGTCTAGCCCAGAGGCTCCCCATGTCCCTCCCTGCTCTGGGGCCGGAGGGTCTATGTGTAAACCAGACATTTCACACTAGACAGCCCTCTGCATGCCATTCCTGAAACATGCATGAAGCCCGGCTGCGTGCCTCCCGCCAGCCGCTGCCAAGGCCTGGGCTGTCCCCTGGGGCTCAGGAGCTGCCCATATTGGGGAGGCTTTCCTTTCTGGGGATACGCTGTGGATGCAGGGTGCCACAACACCTGGCTGAGGCCGAGATGCCGACCACGAGTGGTGTGTCTGTCTGGGCTCCCAGGGTCTCCATGGACTACCTGCTCACCAGGCTGCTTAGTGCACTGGGCTCCCTGCCGGGCCACCGCCTGGACAGCCTCTCTATCCTGGACCGGGTCAACCATGAGAGCTGGTGCGACAGTGGCCAGAGCCCCGGCCTCACCTTTGATCACCTGAAGGTACGTGTGGGGGCTTAGGAGCCCTGTTCCCATTCTGCTGGGCCTTTGTCTATAACCAGGGGCCCGGGGCAGGGGGCCCCAGGTTGGGCCCTTGGGCCGGCTCTGACCGATGCACAGCCTGGAGCAAACTCTGAGTCAGAGGCTTCTGAGGCCGTGCCAGGTTCCCAGAGGCCCAGGCTCACAGTGACATCTGGCTGCTGAGTGCGGTGGCACCTCAGACCCGCCTTTGCCATCCCAGGGCTGGTGACCCCGGGGGTTCTCCTGGCCCTTTGGGTTGGGTGGCACACAGCCGGCCTGCCCACCAGCTCGTGTCAGCCCTGGGAGACCCCTGTCCTCGGGCCTGGAGTCTGTGAATGTGACCGGCCGGGACTCCCTCTCTGAGTGGAGCCAGCCCAGCCCTGGCACCCCTCCTCTGCTGCCCAGTGGCTCCGTGACAGCACTGGAACAGTGTCTTCCTAGGGCTGGGTACTGCCAGGCTCTGGAAAAGTAGGGGCAGGAGCTCACAGGGTGGTGCAGGGGAAGTGGGTGCGGCCATGGAGTCTTGGGGTCTCTGCCCAGAGTGGGCAGTACGAGGCCTCAGAATGCTGCTCCATGACACGGGTCGAGGGTTAAGAGATGTGGCCCACCCTGGTGCAGAAGAAACTCTACCAGGAGTCCCCGTGCGACCTCAAGCCACTCACCATCCCTCTCAGAACTCCATCCCACCCCCTAAGGGGGTGCCAACTTCTGAGGGGGTCCTTTGGAGTCTGACACAGGGTGGCTCCTGCAGTGAAGTAGGGGTGATGGGACGGCAGAGGGAGAGGGGCATGTAAAGCAAAAGGAGAGGGGACTCAGGACCAGGGGTGGGAGGGCAGCCAGATAAGTCTAATTGTGGCTTTCAGACAGACTCTGGGCCCAGGAGTCCCGGGCACACAGACTAGGGCAGGGAATGTCATGGAGTGGGGCCCTTAGGGCGGAGCTATAGGGCATGAGTAGGAGTTTAGTGGGAGTGGGGCGTGAGGAAAGGGCCAGAGGGTGAGTAGGAGCCTCAAATCCCCTCAGAAGGATCTTGGTGGCTGGCGTCGGGGTGCCAGGGAGGCATGGAGAGGATGCTGGGTGGGGACCTGCTCAGCTGCAGTGCCCTCCTGCCCCCGGGAGTCAAGGGAGGCACCATGGTGGGCACAGCAGGTGGGAAGAGTCTAGGACTCACGCTGGGGCACCCAGGGGAGGTGTAAAGAGTGGGGGAAAGTGCCTGTGGGCAGAGTCTTCTGGGGGGAGGGGGAGGGGGGAGGGCTGGAGAGTCCGTCCATCTTGTCCCCAGGGCCTGACCCACTGTCTTCCCAAAGGCTGTGCTGCTCTGGGCCTCGGTGCTCTTCCCGGCGCCCGAGGACTGGGCGGAGCTGCAGGGCGCTGTGTACCGCCTGCTCGTGGTGCTGCTGTGCTGCTTGGCCACCAGGAACCTGCCCCACTTCCTCCACCCCGAGCACAACCTGCTGCAGGACACCAGCCTGGACCTCAATGCCCTCTACCAGCGCGTGGAGCACTTCGCCAGCCAGCCCGAGGCGTCCCTGCGCATCCACGTCACCCACCTGGGCCGCAGCCCCCCGCCGCGCATCGGCCACGGCGTCAAGGCGCTCCTGCAGCTGCCCGCCAGCGACCCCACCTACTGGGCCACCGCCTACTTTGATGTCCTGCTGGACAAGGTGGGCACAGACAGTTGAGGGGGCCTTGGGCAGACCTCTGCCCAGGGTCAGGAGCTTGAGCAAGGAGGTTGGGTCAGGTCAGGCCTCTAGACAGCTTCTGTCAGGAAAGGATGTGGCACTGGGGTCAGATAGGCCATGATTGCCCCCTGCCCACCAGTGGCCCCACCGGCCCAGGACCGCTGTCTCGGAAGTAGGGAAGCATGCCCAAGCCTGGCCTGTTCCCCCCAGAACCCCCCAAACCCACAGTGAGAGCACTCAGAGCCCCAGCAGCTACCCTGGGCTCCATTCCTCCTGAAGGGGTGTGGCCTCTGGGGGCCTCATTGGCAGGTTTCCTGGACCTAGCAGTCCCATGCCATGTCCCTTGGCATTTAGGGGGTGCCTGTCTGCTCCACCAGCTGCCCCTCTCAAGCCCCAAGGTTCCACCAGCTCTGCTGACCCTCCCTTCCCCCGTCCCTGGGAGCCTCCTCCTGCTCCTCCCCAAAGGGCCATCCCCACCTTCATGCCAAAGAGCCAACATGTCCCCTTCCAGGGTACACTCAGGGACACGGAGTGATGGTAGCGGGAAGGGTAACCCACATTCAGGCCTCAGCAAGCACCTGCCCAGGCCTCCTTGGTGTCAGGCCATCCAGGGACACCTGGGTGTGAGGAAGGCCCTAGGCAGGTCCAGCTGCAGGGAGGACTGTCCAGGTGAGACCCAGAGGCAGGAAGCCCAGTGGGCAGGGACAGGTGTTGTCCCATGCTGTGTCTGGGGCCCAGTGATGGACTCCCAGATGTCTCTGTGACCCCTCTGTCCCTGCCCCGCCCGCAGTTCCAGGTCTTCCACATCCAGGATAAGGACCGGATCTCGGCCATGCAGAGCATATTCCGGAAGACCAAGACCCTGGGCGGCGAGGACAGCTGAGTGGGTGCCTGGGCTCTGCCGCTGCTACACTGCCCCACGGAGGCTCCTGGGACATGGGCAGAGGCCTTCACCTTGAGGCGGGTGGCGGGTCGTGGAGGGACTTTGTCCGGGGGGGTGGCCTCATGGGAGTCTAAGAGTGCAGGACAGTGGGCCCCTGGGAGCAGCTGCCTCGTCTCCAGGGGTGAGGGGCGTGTGCTTCTTGTGTCCATCCACCTGCGTGGTGCCGTCAAGACTCTGAAAACTGAATGTCTGGACCTGAGGACTCATCCCATCTGTGTCAATGCCACTCTGTGAGGTGAAATACTACGTGTCTGATCCGGAATAAATTAATGCACTCCCAGGGAATGGCAAGAGTCCTTGTACCTGCCCACCTACCACAAGCACAAGGATGGGGCCTGCAGCCTCACTGGATTTTGGAGATGCGGTTACCTCCTTGGGAAGGTCCATTTGTTGGCTGGCTCGGAGACGGTGAGTTCTGAGTGGGTCAAAGCACAGATTGGCTGTCCTGCAGGTTCACAGGCTGGGGTCCCCAGGGAGAACGGGCACCACGTGGCGTCCCTGGAAAACCCTAGCATGGAAGCCGAGGTTCTGCAGCAGAGAACGATAGTTCACTGTTCAAAGCACAGTGTCTGGTACATGGGGCCCCGCGGAGGATGGGCCCGACCACAGAACCCAGGCCACTGCGTGCCCACCACGAGCTCCGAGATATAGGTCCTTGCAGTGAAGCAGGAAAACATAAGTAAAAGGCATAGATATTGGAAAAGAAGAAGTAAAACTGTCATTATTCATAGACAACTTGATGATGTACATAGAAAACCTTAAGGAATTCACAAAGAAACTACCAGACTTGTTAATTTAACAAGTCAAGAGATACAAGGTTAATGGAGGAAAATAAACTATATTTCTATATATTACAAGTAAACCACTGGAAATAAAAATTTAAAAATACCATTAACAATAGCATAAAAATATCACACATGCAGAAATATATCTAACAAAGGCTATATGAGACTTCCACACTCAAAACTAGAAACCGCTACATATGATCTCAAGCGATCCAAATTAATGTTTAGGTCTTTAGAATTTTTTAATTAAAAATCTATAATATTTTGATGCTTTCCATTGTACGTGACTTGATACACAGATTTAGTGCCATTCCATCAAAACTCCAACACACTCTAGATAAGACAATTCTAGAATTTACATAGAAATTCAAAGGCTCTCGGACAGGAGAAACAATTTTGAAATAACAAAATTGGAGGATTCAAACCACCTGACTTTAGACACACTAGGAAGCTGCAGTAATTAAGACAGTATGGCGCTAATGTGAGGATAACTAAATACAACAACACAGAATGGAGAGACCAGAGCAGACCCATGCATGTGGTCAGCTGACAGAGTGGCCAAGTCCATTAATTAGATGGGGAAGGAAAGTCTGGTCAGAGTGGGTGAAATTGTACCTTGACCCATTCTCCACTCCATCTCAAAATTAAGATGACGTGGATCATAAACCTACACATCAAAGCTGACACCAGTGCTTCTAGAAGAAACATGGTAAGATATCTTTAGGATCACAAAGTAGGCAAATGTTTCCTGGACAGAATCCAAACAGCACAGACCATAAAAGAAAACACTCGGACTTCATCAACATTTAAAATATCTGCTCTTTGAAAGACACGATATGAGTGCAGGTAAGCCACAGATTAGGAGAAAATGCTCATAGCAGCGTGTCTGACAGTATCCAGAACCTATCGAATAACTATCACAAGTTGACAATAAGAAGATAACATCAAATAATGTGAGCAAAACCCTTGGGCTGACACTCCTCAAAAGGAAATACATGAATGGCCAATAAACACATGAAAAGATGCTCAACACCATCAATCATCAGGGAAATGCATAATAAAATCAAAGTAGATTCAATTTCACACGCACTGCGGGGAAAAGAACGCCAAGTGATGGTGAGAGTGTGGAGCAACAGGAACTCTCCTCCACTCTGGTGAGAACGTAAAAGGTTGCAACCACCTCTGAGGACATGGTAGCAGCACCTTACAAAGTTAAACCTGTCCTTACTGTGTGACCCATAATTCCACTCTAGGTATTTACCCAAGAGAAATGAATAGGTGTCCACATAAAGCCTGTCTAAGAATGGTCATTACCTCCGTATTCATAGTAGCCCCCAGTTGGAAATCACCCAGGGGTCCATCAGCAGCAGGTGATGCACCAATTTTGATAAATCCATGCAATGCAATGGTACCCAGCAACAAAGACTCGCTGCATTCCCACAGCAACCAAGTGCGAAGGGAAAGAAGTAGACCGGCTAGAGAATATACTGTGTGGTTCCATTTATATGAACTCCAGTCACAAAACTGATCGGTGGTGATGGAATCAGTGGGAGGTGGGGCACTGACTGGATGGGGAGCTCAGGGACCTGCCGCTGGATGGTGCTTGTCTGCTTCTGGGGAAGCCCCACCAAGACAGGGCTGCTCTCAGGACAACGGCCAACGTCGTGAAGGTGACCTGCATGGCCCTGTGTGTTTGGGCCCCCAAGCTTTCTGGCCTCTTCTGGAAAAGCACCCATCCCTACCTTTGCTTTCTGGACTTCAGACCCTCTGGCCCTCACAGGTCCTGTGCTGACCATAGCTGTCATGTGAGTGTCCCACTACTGCCCGTCTCTCCTGGTGGCCCAAAGCACTGGGGGTGGATGGCCTCTGATCTGCTCAGGGACCTACCCCAGTGCCCTGGGTGAGTGACAGGGGCAGAGCCAGTGAGGACAGTGAGGACCGGGTAATGTGGGCATGGCTCTGACTGCCCAGAGCATACCCTGGTCCTGAGTAGGTCAGAGGTGGGCCTAGTCTGAAACTTCAAATTAGGGAGAGGCTGAGGGGGCTCGGCCCAAGTGAGGGCAGAGTGAATGGACAGAAGGTCCAAGAGCCAAACCAAGGAGTGGGGAGGCCAGGGCTCCAGGCCACCCTCAGCTGCATGTTGGAGGGTCTGCTGGCGGCCGGGCAGAGGCCTCCCCAGACTCAGTGCCTGCGCTGGCCTGCAGGCCATGTACCCAGGCTCAGGTCCCAGCTGTGTGCTCTAGGCTTTCTGCCTTCACCCTCAACTCAGGTCACGGATCACCCTGGGGCTGTGAGCTCCCCTGGAGGCCGTGTGTGACCATGTGTTTGGCAGGTGTGAGACCTGGGGCCCCTGCACACCCCATCTTCTAGCCCCAGGGAAGCCCTAAGCGAGGATCTGCTGTGAGCTCCCCCCAACAAAGGTGCAGTCAGGGGGCAGCAGTGCCTTCCTGCCAGACTCTTCCGCAGCCCAGCCTGCACAGTGAGGATGGATGACCACCTGTTCTTTATTGAGTATTCTCAGAAGGCCAGTGACCTGGGGATTGCAGCTCAGTTGGGAGGAGCTGAGGATCCTGAGCCCAAAGGACCACTTCCAGGGAGTTCTACTAGGAAGGAGAAGGGCCACTTGGGGCTGGGGCCTATCCTGCCCCCGGGCCCAAGGGCAGGGCCTGGTGCCCAAGTCATAGCTTATTCCGGGGGCAGCGCTGCAGGGCCTCCTGTAGGGCCTCAATCACTCGGTCCACGTTCTCCCGGGTGGCGTTGCAGCCCAGGAGGCCGATCCGCAGCACCTGGGGGGCAAGGGCGGGAAGACGTCGTCCTCCACCCAGGACCCCACCTGGCCCTGGCTGAGGTCTGGACAGAGCCAGGCGGGCTCCCAACGAGGGGACTCCCACCCAGGGGACACAGGGAAGCCAGAGCTTCCTCCAGTCACACAGGGAGCTCCCAGACCCAGGCAGAGCCCACAGGGCTCGAGAAGGGTATCCAGGGTGGCGGTCAGAAAAGGCCACTCAGAATCACCCTTTCAGTGGGCACAGCTGGACCTGGGCACAGGGCCTCCTGCCTGCTCTGCCCCACAGAGGAGAGGAAGGACATTCTGGGTGGAATTGGAGGTGCTGCACCTCACCAGCTGGGGAAGAAGGGCCCAGATCCCCCCTGTACACACCCCCGGGGTTTGGAGAAAGATGTTCCCTTCCGGACACCCCCGCTGTCCTGGGTCCTTGGTTGACTGCTGACCTCAGCCTGGACCCAGGCACAGTCATGCTCCATGTGGTAGGTATGGCCACCCCCTCACCTTCCCCAAGGAGGGCCCCAGGCCGCCCGTGATTTCGATGGAGAAGTGGTCTATGAGGTACTTGACGATGTCTCTCCAGTCGTAGCCAGCGGGCACGGCAATCGTGGTGACGGTGGGCAGCCGGAGCGTCTGCAGGACAGGCCTGGCTCAGCACCATCCTGACAGCTCTGGGCAGCCCCACCCGCCCTGCCGTTGGGCTTCAGAGGGACAGGTGGGGCTGGGGGAAAACTGGGGGGTCACAGGCTGCTGCTCAACCCCCAAGTGCCTCCATATGGCTGTTCCCTCAAGCAGGTCACACCCACCCTGTGTCAGGGGGGCTTCAGTTGCCTGCTGACACTTGGGGTGCCTGGCTCATTCAGCTGACCTTCCCCCGAGTCAAAGCCCATGACTGGTTGGGCTCTGGAGGCAAATGGGAATCTTCCAGGTCAGGGATCCCCCATAACTAGTCCAGGTGGAGGGGCTATGGGGGAGACTGAGGCATCAAACTAAAGATTCAGAGGCTGGGGAGCCATGAGCTTGATAGTGATGGCCCCCAGGATTGTCCCCGACCCCCAGGACCACAGGAACCTGCGTCCATATAGAGGGAACTGGGCAGGAGCTGTCCCCTCTCCGCAGACCCCCATGGGGTAGAGCCTCCCTCCCCTACCCCCAACCCCCCGGCCCCTGCCCTCCTTACGGGATCCTTCACGAAGAGCTGCAGGCCCAGCCCTTGAAGGCGCCCGTGCAGGTAAGCGGTGACGTCCCGGTGCCGTCGCCAGCTGTTCTCCAGGCCCTGCTCAGGGAGAGGGCACCCGTAGGCAGGTGGGTGGGGAGGAGAAAGCAGGCTCCCACCCACAGGGGCAGCTTCAGACTGGGGAGCTCCAAGCCTGCCCGGGACTTTGAGCCCCTTGAGTGTCTCCTTGAGCCCCCAGGTTTGGGGCTATGGCTCTGTGCCAGGGGCTACCTCTGGTGAGGGGGATGGGGCCCAGCCAGCACTGGAGCCCTGGGGAGGTGAGTCGAGAGCACCTTGTGCAGGTGGGGGGCTGGCCAGGGGAGGGCAGGGGGTTTCTCAGTCACACACTGCCCCCTGTCTTCCAAGCACACTGACCACAACCTGAGTTCCATGTGGCTCCACCCTCTCCCTGCCCTACACCCTCACACCCAGCCCACCTTCAGAGCTCCCCCTGTGACACAGGGCCCAGTCTGGGGCTGGTGACCTCCGCCTCCTTGATGCCAGCTCAGCCCTGGGCGGTGGCTTTATGAGTGGACACAGGAGGGCAAGCACCACCAGCGCAGCACTGAGCCTCGAGGAGAGGCCGCCCACAGCCCGCTCTCTTCCTGGCCTCTGGGCTGGGGGCCAGCGTGGCCCGAGGGGAGGTCAGGGCGGTGAAGGTGGGCTGAGCTGCAGCTGTGTGTCCTGTCTGTGCCCTGCAGAGCCAGCCCAGCCTGTGTGGACAGACGTCCCAGCACTGTCCCTGTCTGGCTCCTGACCCCAGCCTGGGAGCTGGATATGGCTGCAGGAAAGTGCCCGGCTGCTGAACTTGGGTAATTTTACACTCACAAACCTGGCTCTGGCCTCACTCTGGGCCGCCCCACCCCTCCCCTCTGCACACCTTGCCTTTCCTCAGACCCCTCCTGCTGGCTGGGCCCTCATGGAGGTGTCACTCAGCACCTACCCGCCCTGGGTCCTGTCCCCGGCCACCCTCGGCCCCCAGCTGGTGCTCTCCTGCCTCACCTCTTCTGCGATGAGGGCCAGGCTCTCTCTCAGGCTGAACAAGCTGATGACGGGGGTCGTGTGATGGTACCTGGAAGACAGGATGGGTGGGCTTGGTCCAGCGTCACTGGGCTGGGGCCGGGCAGCCACAGTTGGGTCAGGCTCTGTGTCAACTGGGCCAGCTCCCTTCCCGTGTGGGAATCAGGGACTCAGCTGGTAGGGCAGCTGGATCTGCAGGAGCAGAGCTCAGAGGGGCACTGGCCACACCTCAGTGGGATGATGACAGGCACAGAGGCCTCATGCTGGCTCCCACCTCCCAACTGGCCTCCCTGGGCCCCAGTGGCTCCAAGGAACCCACACTGCACCCACTGGGCCCGCTGGGTAGGGCACAATTCCCAGGGTCCCTGTCCCCATGTGTGCTAAGGAGCCTTGGGTTATGGCCAAAGCCACTGCACAGAGAGCCCTGGGTTCACCTCCTTCTTTTGAGACATGGGTAAACTGAGGCCCAGAAATGGGGAGATGTGGCCAGGTCCAAAGTGCCTGCTGCCACACTTTTAGGGGCACAGGGATCCGGAAAAGGGTGGGGGGCCATTCAGCTGGCCCTGAGCCCCCAGGCCAGGGAGAAATGGGGGAATGTAGGTGGGGACATTGATGGGGAGCTTGAAACAAAGTAAGATTGATGAAGGGCTGAGGATAGTGAGAGGTCACCCCCCACACTCCTCAGGCACACCCAGCCCACCCCACCCCTGCCCTCACATCCTGGGCTTGTCGTCACAGCCCCAGATGTTGGCCAGCCACTTCATATCCAGGTAGAAGGAGTAGGGCTTCGTCTTCCGGGTGTAGATCTTATTCCTGGGGAGGAAGAACCAGCCTGAGTGCCCACCTGTCCCGCCGACGCTGTGGGACCATCTCCAGGCCCTCCTGTTCCTCAGAGGTGGGTCCCGGGACAGGCCCATTGCTGGCCCTTGGGCTTGGCCTGCACCTCTGCCACGTGGGTGTGACCCTGCCGCATGGGGACTGCTGCGTTGGTGAGTCCAAACACATTAAAGTGACAAAGAGGAAACTGGGGCCGGGGCCCCACCTCTCCTGGGGCGTAGTCTGTGAAGCTGGGTATAATTGAGGGCCTATAGGCAACCTCATCCCCAGGCCGGCACCTCCAGACTGGCCTCGAAAACTGGGCCTCTCCCCGAGCTCTGGACTCAGACCCCGCTGCCTCCTCGACCCTCCCACGGTCATCTCAGACTTCCTGTCCACACAGAATTCCTGATCTCACCCCAAATAGTCTCTGGTCTGGTAAATGGCACCAACATTAACCTGGTGACAATCTGCTGGGGCCGGTCTCCTATCCCCTCCCCCAGACCACCCTGGCCTGGCATAGGGCTGGACACCTGTCTAGGGTAGGTGACGAGCATTCTAGGGGTATCTGGGAGCACAACTCAAGGCACCCTTCCCTCCCTCCTGGGGGCCAGCTGGACTCACTGCACATCCAGCCCTGGATTGGGGGCCCAGGGGCCACTCACTTGGCCTTGTCACTGAAGGAGATGAGTGCGGTGCCCGGAGGGGAATTCAGGACCTTCTGGGAACCCGAGTACAAGACATCGATGCCTGTGGGGAGGAGGGACACGTGTTCCCGGGGCCATGCCCCACCCAGGGTGGGGTCATACCAGCTCGGGTGTCCCTGAAGCCCAGGACAAGTCTGACAGTTTGGGTGAACCTGGGGACCCATCATGCAACTGGCGTCTGGAGTGAGAGGGACACCCTTGCAGGACCAGTCCTATGCTGTGGAGTCTGACGTTGTCCCCACTGAGGTGCAGTGAGCTTGGGACACCCAGTGAGTGTCCACTTGGTGTGGGGAGAGCCAGCCCTGGTGTCGGAGTGCGTGAGCGCGCTGGGGACAGTGCAAAGGAGGCAAAGAGGTTTTCTTTTCACACTTTGGAGTACTGGCCCCCTAATCTGTCACAAAAAGCCTACAATGCCATCACTTGAGGAGGCCTTATAGTTCTGAGCGGTAGCAAAGAATATCAGGGCTCCAGGATAAAGGGCCGAGCACATCTGAGCTGTGCCCAGCTTATGATGCCCTGACGGTGGGGCCAAAGGAATGGCTTCAAATGTGCACCCACAGGCCCGAACGAGAATGTTCTCACAGCTTATCCCTAAGAGCCTAAAACTGGAGAGAAGCCCAAGTCTACCAATCGGAGAGTGTGCATGTGATCAACGAAAACTGAAGAACCGCTCTCCATGCCAGAGCCATCGCAGTCCCCTACCTCCTCCCACCCCTCCTGCAGGGGTCTGGGCGCCTCCCCCATATTAACTCCAGAGAAGCTCCCGCCTGCCCCCACATCCGCGCCTGGTAGCCCCCCAGAAACAATAGGTGTTGATCAGTTCATGGAGCCTAGCTGGCTGGGGTGTCGGGGGCACACCCTTACCTTGCTGATCCATGTGGATGGGGGCCCCGCCCAGGGATGCCACAGAGTCCACCAGGAGCAGGCACTGGTACCTGGGGGAGGGGCAGCAGAGTGAAGCAGGAGGGACTTCAGCTCCCTGCCCTGCCCGCCAGCCCCCGGGACCCCCATACAGGGGTGCGTGAGGCCAGCCCAGGCGGCCTGTGGTCCTGGGGTGGCTGGGGCCTCGGAGGGCTCAGCGCCAAGCATGCGTGGGGGGTCCAGGAACCGCGCAGCAGGAGCCTGGGCCTCCCGCTGCCAGCAGCCTGCTGACTGTAAGGTCGGAGCCCAGGGCGGACAGAGTCCAGAAACAGCCTGAGCCAAAGCTTTGCCTCTTCCCCACTTCCATGTTTTCTTATAAAAAAAGGCCAAGACGTGGAAACAGCCAAGTGTCCTGCGGTAGAGGACTGGATGGAGAAGACGTGGTACATGTGCACAGTGGGATACTGCTCAGCCATAAGAAGGGATGCAATACTGCCATTTGCAACACCATGATGGACCTTGAGAATATCATACTAAGTAAATTAAGTCAGTCAGAAAAAGCTAAAAACCACGTGATTTCACTCCTATGTGGGATATACGACTGAAACTTGTGGACACAAACAGGAGTGTGGTGGTGCCAGAGGGAAGGGGCTGGGGGTGAAGGGGTCCTAATATATGGTGGTGAGGGGAGAAGATTTAACTTTGGGTGGATGAGCACACAGTGCAATATACAGATCTTGCAACATAGAAACCCACACCTGAAACCTGTATGATCATATTAACCAATGTCACCTCAATAAATTTAACTTAAAAAAAAGGCAAAATGAGCGTCCCATGCTGGGTGCAGAGGGACAGGTGTGCCCCTCGGGAATCATGGCCCAGGTCACATTCATGAGCTTGATTCACTGACAGCACTCCCGGGGCAGGCTGTCGGGGCTGGAGCTGTGCCCAGCGGCCCCTCGGCCCCCGTAGGTCCTGCCTGGCTGTGAGCCTCCTCCTTCCAGCCTGAGGTCAACTCTGCAGAGCAGGACCGCTGGTCACAGGAAGGCCCTGTGCGCCCCTGCAGGGATGGGGGAGGCCAGAGGAGGGGAGTGGAGAGCAGAGCTGCCTTGGGGCTCTGGGATCTCAGGCGAGGTGGGTCAGCATAAGCCCTTCCCAGCCGTGGGGACTGAAGGACAGTGGGCATCATGGGGGCACTGGCCATGGGGAACCTAATCCTGCTCTCAGACAGAAGGAGCCCACCCAGATTCAGCGAAGAACAAGGAGGACCCGAGAGGTGCCTGCATTCCACAGCATGTGACATAGGCTGGGTGGGGCCGTGAAGGATGGGGTTCAGCTTCACCTGCTACCACCCGGCTGGAGGGACCTGCCAGCACCCCCCCCTCCCCCCTTCACCCCCCTCCCCCGCCTGGTCTGAGCTGGGCTTGGCTCTGCCTGCAGCACTGTGACCTTGAGACAGGCTCACTTGAGGGGACAGGCTCACCTGTGGGGACAGTCTCACCTGTGGGGAGAGGCTCATCTGAGGGGACAGTCTCACCTGTGGGGACAGGCTCATCTCAGGGGACAGGCTCACCTGTGGGGACAGGCTCACCTGTGGGGACAGGCTCATCTCAGGGGACAGGCTCACCTGCGGGGACAGGCTCACCTGTGGGGACAGGCTCACCTGTGGGGACAGGCTCATCTCAGGGGACAGTCTCACCTGTGGGGACAGTCTCACCTGTGGGGACAGGCTCATCTGAGGGGACAGTCTCACCTGTGGGGACAGGCTCATCTGAGGGGACAGGCTCATCTGAGGGGACAGTCTCACCTGTGGGGACAGGCTCACCTGTGGGGACAGGCTCATCTGAGGGGACAGGCTCACCTGAGGGGACTGGCTCACCTGAGGGGACAGGCTCACCTGTGGGGACAGGCTCACCTGAGGGGACAGGCTCACCTGAGGGGACTGGCTCACCTGAGGGGACAGGCTCACCTGTGGGGACTGGCTCACCTGAGGGGACAGGCTCACCTGTGGGGACAGGCTCATCTGAGGGGACAGGCTCATCTGAGGAGACTGGGCTCACCTGAGGGGACAGGCTCACCTGAGGGGACAGGCTCACCTGAGGGGGACAGGCTCACCTCAGGAGACAGTCTCACCTGGCGGTGACAGGCTCATCTGAGTGGGAATGCTTCCCTGTATGGGAACGGG